CTATGTTCTCGAGAAAAGTATCTAAATATATGCATCGATTTATACAAAATCACCTTAACAGCCTAAGTATACTAGGATGAAACTTTCCTATACCTAGATACTAAAAGTTACAAAATATTTTTACTTGATAGCTTAAGTAGACTCGAAAAGGAATACACATGCCTCTGTATCAAAAGATGTAACGTTCACAACAGAATCAATTCGATAAATAAAATAATTCGATGAAGTCGATCAAAGTCTGTCGAATGGTGAAGAGAAATTCAGATGGTCTTATAGGAAGATGCATAGCGCGGTCGTTCGTTGAAGACGCTCGGGTACTGGTCCGGCTGCGGTGTCCGAGGGTGTCCTTGAAGCGGGCGGGGTCGTCACACGACGGCTGCGGGTAAACGACCATCAGAAAGCTATGTGTGTTACCAGCCGAGGCCTTATGCCGTAGCTTACACTCGTACTCCTTAACTTCCTGTGTCTGTATATGTAACGCGCACGCGCACTGTCTCTTTCGTTCGGTTCTTCACTCTGCCGTTCTTTTTGCCTTTTTATCTCCCTCTTTCTTTTTTCAACTCCTTTCGCTCTTCCTCGAGTAGCGCGAATAAGAGAATCCATCTCGCATGTATTCGCAACGAATGATTTCAACCATTTCATTTTCTTCTTTTCTAATATATGCGCTTAATAAGAAAATTTTTGATAATTCTATTTTTCTCTATTAACTTAAATAGATCCTCGTAAAGATACCTAACCATAATACAACCTTTTTTGACAATACACGAAGAAGATTGTCTTGCAAATGAACCTTATAAAAACGTCGAGCGAAAAAAATCCCAACACAATGAAACACAGTCGACCAACCGGTAATGAATCAAATCTATTACGATAACAGCAGTAATAACAGCAGCAATGGATGGACACGGCAAAAGCTGGTGAGATGCGAACGAAGAGCATGTAGTGATCGAGCGCGGAAAGCCACCCGCTTCTTTCCACGTTTCCACTTGCACATATATATTCTTTCTACCTCTCTCTTTCTCGACCGCAAAGAGACCTGTAGGTAAGTCCATACGATGCACGTACAACATGGTAACAACCGCCTAACCAATGGCACCAGTTCAGTAACAATTCCAATTATAGATCGTAAGTGTATTCTACAGGTCGCGGGAGCAAACCACCTCCTCCTCCTTATCCTCCTTCTCTCTTCTTCCTACTCCCTCTTCTTTCTTTACTTCCTGATCGTAGAACCAATTATGTTGTGAGCGAGCGTGCGGAGCCTTCCGAGTAAATTGAAAACTTCGTCTACGTTCCTCCGCTTGTCCGTTCCAGTTGCTGATCATACCATGAGTAAAGTTACTAACAAGAAAGGAAACGCCGCCCAGGATGTTACGTTGGAACTAACCAACCCTTATTCTCTTGCTAATAGAACCCTGAGATTCGGTCAATCTCACTAAGGATCTCCATTCCTGGTTTATTCAAAAATGTATATCAAGCATAGTTTGATATTTATTTTTAGTATATAGATCAATATCGATAAATAGTAGATATGTCAAATGTGTATCTAAGACTGCATACACATTATCGATCAGTCTCCGGCAACCAAATCGACGAACGACCAAAAAACATAGCGACTAAACGAGTCGTCCGTGGATTGCTCGTATGACTCGCTGATTGCTGCAACCAGTGAAATATTATAAAATAAAATTTCTTTTATTTTTAAACACTGCCAGATAAAGCAGCTGCATGTAGATAACGAAAAAAACTTTTGGGACAACATTGAATTAAATCCACGCGTTCGCATTACAAGCAATTTCTCTACAAAAATTGAGACCAGACATTGGTGAATATAGTCTCCAAGGGGCCGAGACAACTACCTCCACTGTTTATAAGTAAATTCGCCACTAAGACCAGACATTATGATACTGACAAATTCGAGTTGTCAAATTTGATCATCTAGTTTTGTGATCTATCGATCTGGTCACCGATGATTGGTCAATAGTGCACATGCAGCCTTAAAATTACTGTTTAAACAAAGCTGAGATTATATATAAATTCTTAAATATGTAAAATGCATCTCACAAAAAAATAAGCATCCTGTAACTTATAGATCGTAGTGTATAGACGCGATAACGTTTGCTAGTTGGTAGAAAGCAATCGCTATTATATCTTGATATATCGCGGAATATCAGCTGCCACAAGAGGTAACGAAAACGAGTAAGATTCTCGTATTTTAGTATCTCTCGTATAAAACCAAACGATACTTTTTAATTTACAACGAAATGTTCATTCGATACTACTCAGCTAGCAAGCATAGGTTAAAGAAGTTAAGCATACTCTCGTCTATACCTAAGGGAATTCAACTTAAAAATAAATATCGAATAAAAGAGTTGAGAGTGTTTCACTTTGTAAATAATAAAAAAGGTTACCCTGTTGACGGGAATGACGTCGCTCTATCTAAGGTAAAAAAAGATATAGTCTGCGGGCACAAGGTTAGACTACACGATTATCCGACAACCTTGGCAAAAACGTTTTTGTCGGGATAATCGAGTCCTGGCGCCAGGAGGAGATCATCAATTAACACTTTCCTGACAAGTCCGCTGTTATTAACAATTTTCAGACGGTTGAACTGCATGTATGTATGTACTTGCATTCTTCGATTACCGATATAACGATGATTACCATTCTCGTTACGACATTGTTCGACATGTCGGCGATATTCCTCTCTCTCCGATACGAATTAATTCGAACTGGTCGATTCGAAGCAATAGACCAGGGAATCAACGAGATCTTTGTCCGTACGCATATTCAAAGGGTTTCCAATTTCACGCCGACTGAGAGAGACATCTTTATCAGAACGTCAAGTGCATCTGAATACTCGTCGATGAGACGACGGTTGGGTTGATCGGTTAGTAGTAGTCGGCAAGGTGGCTACCGAACAAAAGGTACTGAATATAGCTTATTGCGAACGTCACATCCAGTAAACATGCGGAAGAGAGGGAAAGAGAGATGGAAGCAAGAAGCTGACTTTTCGTTATTCTGTTATTCGATATGTCGTAAGTGAATAGGGGAAAGAGAAAAGGACTAACCTACACAGTCTTTACGAGATGCAAATATCGGGCAGTCGGGCAGGCAGTCAAGCGCACCATCGAACAACTACCAAAGGAAGGGCTCACACGCCAGCCCTTTTCATCTTTGGCATATATGATCGCTATAGGCCCTTCAACCGCAACTAAAATATACTCCTTGAATACAACTTGCAAGTTATCGCTCCGCACCTGCTCTTAATATCATGAACTTGAAGTATTTTATTAATCTAAATCATCATCTTCATTTGTACGATAATAAAAAATATAAGAAACGAAAGTCTTCCTCTTTGACGAAAGAAGATAATGCAACCCAGACATAATTCGAAACTTTAGAAAGTGAAAAAACAAATTTAGCAAATTAAATTGAGAAATAGTAATAGAATAAAATCAATTCAACGAGGAATTAAACACTTATGTAATCGTATAGAAAGAATATCCTTATGCAATGAGAGGCTTCCTGAGAAAGAACACATTTTCAAGTGCAAGATCATAACAAGAATGTAACGTGTAATAAAATGAAGTGAAAGTAAACTCACAAAATTAAGGTCAATGCTCGATAATCCAGCGATGAAAATTTTTCCCGAATCGAGTTCTATTTGAAAATTTAACGAATATTCATTTCCAAATTTCATAGAAATGTTATCACATCTACACCACTAATTTTTATTTCTTTTTATTTTTCGTATTAACTTCTATAATTTCTTTTAGAACGTAATTACACAAAACAAGTAACTGTTTCTATGATCATCTACCGAGTCTAAATACATACATCCTTTGTCACGAGCTTGCGAGACTGTCCCGGGAACTCGGAACCCTTTATCCGATATGGTATGTTGAACTCTACACAAAAGAAGTTACGTCACTACATCAACAAAATAATAAAGAATCGTTAGAACATGAGATACCTATTCATTGAAGTAAAATAATTTTTTTGCGATTTCCTAATTTTGTTGATAAATTATCGATATAAACTAGAATCGAAATCCTTTGGAACAGTTATTACCGTGAGGCAATGGGTAATATAATTCTATGCTATAACAAATGATAAATTATAGCCAAGTTTAACTTGGGTGATTCTATGAAACATAAATTCCTCCTTATTGCATAGTAGAATATCGCTTAAACATTATCTTTATTGATCTAACGTATGCTACTATCGAACAATAATTTATCGAATAACCATTCGTAGATCTATATGTCATTAGTATGTACATTATAGTTTATACTCCTATTTTAAATGTCTACAAAAACTAATATTTAAAACGACCAAGTCCATAACTCCTTGAACTTGATAATAGCAGAAAACAAATTATCTGGTGTTTCTTCAAGCAGTACTAAAACATTTCTTTTATCTCTCTACGAATATTTGCATTCTAACACCTAACAGTTATAATAACTAACTCATTCATCTATTTGAGAAAATATCTTAAAGTAAAATATATATGCAAAAAGTTTCATATCACATATGCTGACGCGCGTTGGCTGTTAACTGAACAATCTATTTAGTCTTTGAAATCCTGTGTATTTCATTTACGTAAATTTGCAAATGTATCTTTAAACTATTCAACATTCTAACCTGTTAAGTCTTTTGTGAATAAATTTATTATGAATAATTTTTTGTCGACTATCCCGTTACTTCTATTTGAGAAAATAAAAACACGCACGCAACACACACACACACACACACGCAAATAATAGATATCTTTAAGATACTTCTCCATATTTATTAGGACCGGAAAGTAATGTCGCTTTCTTAAATTAAATTCAAACGAATAAATTTTTAACAAGTTTTTATTTTTAATCACAATCAAATATCGACATGCGCAGAAACGATATTACTTTCCGGTCCAACTAATAAATAAAGACCAAGAGAAATACTAACAAACTATAATTTGGATATAAAATAGATATATAAATGTTGATAATACTTACCCTATTTTGGTGATCAACTTCCCATGCACATGGAGATAGGATGTAACAAAACGTTTATTCACCTGTTAACAAAATAAACATTTTTATTGTAAATTGATATTTTTATTATATATATTTTTTAGTGATAATTATATGCAATTGTGTTTTATTAAACTACAAAATTACGTAAGTAGTATTTGAACAATTAATAAATTAAAATAACAAAATTAATAATAATAATTCAATATATTTATTAACTTACTTCAACACTCGTCAATTGTGCTAATTCTTCTAAATCACTTTGTGCCAATCTTGAATCAGTAGTACTAGCTGCCGTAGTTGTACGCCTAACTCTTTTGCCACCTGGATGAATCCATATTTCTCGTCTTAATCCTCCTCCAATGCTATTTGCTCCTTCTTTTTCTTTCATCCTGGCTCTTTCCTTCCATTCTCTCTCTTCCTTGCGTTTACGTTCCGTAGATTCGTACTGTTAAAATTGCATTAATCATAAGTACGTAAGTTTTGTTTCGTTAATTCAAGTTATGAACAATGTGATGCATCTTGTAATTGAAAGATAATAAATGAGGAGTAGTAAAAAATAAATATTTTTTTTTTTAATTAGAAATCTTAATCTCTCAATTACAAACTTTTAAAAGATACAAATATTGTAACTTCCTAAGTAAAACTTAATAAATAGTTTTACTGTTAACTACTTGTATCTTTTAATTAAATAATAGCTTCCTACGACTAGAAGAAGGATGCATGCCGATGTTGTGTCGTAGTGCAGCAGCAACTAAAAAAGATACATGAATTGTTTTGTGAAAAAAGAAAAGAAAAGTGCATTAGACCATTGCACCTCAAATCTACTACAAGTTTAAGTACTCCAGATATTCTTACGAATATACTTTTTATAATTTCTTTCCGAATAAATTTCTTTTCGAATAAATTATTATTCTACAAATGAAAGTTGTCGGTAGTGCATAGAAATATTCGCATAAAAACTGGAAAGTGCACAAAAAAAGAAGTTGTAGAATGAAAATATCTACTAAAGCTCTGGCCGTGGTAATGTATGATATTTAGGGACTCACACCAAGTATCGAAATTTACTTACATAATGTAGATACTGGCAGCAAAACAAAATTAAAATATTGACGTTAGTATCATCACAAACAATACGAAACATGTTTTAAATGTCTTATGACCATACCTTTTTTCTATTTTCATCAAAAAGTGCTAGCAAACTTTCCCTAGCAGAATGAAAAGGATTAGATGCCATAAGCGATCGCATATAGTAATATACTGCATCCAATTTTCGTTTCTGGAAAAAAAAAAAAAATATAAAATTAAATAGAAGCAAAGTTATAATTTTTATTCTATCATATCGTATAATGTTACATACGGCATAATGTGCCAATAAAGCAAGTTGATTATAAGGTCTTCCATTCTTTGGATTGATTTGTTGTGCTTTTGAATACCACCTTTAAATAAATAAATTAGAAAAAAATCAAACCTTGCACTTGTATATCTTTTATAAATATTAAATAACACTTATATACATACTGCCTTGATTTTCCGTAATTTGTAGTTTCATTTGCTTGTTCTCTGTACCTTGCTAAATCACCCAGAAAAAGAAATATTTTTTGTGCGCTCACTAAAGCTAAACCTAAAATTCCAAGACCTTTAGGTAGCGTGGATGATGCAAGAAATGCTTGTATCTTGAAGTCATATGTATTTTCAAGTACTGTAATTAAATTTTCCAAGTATATAGTACCCTCGTCAATTATACTTAGCATCGTTTTTTTGTAATACTCTTTGCTTTCTGGGTTCTCTTTGGACATTCCTTTTCTTAATATTTCAATCATATTATAAAACAATATTTTCCAAAAGTGTTGTTCAACATTCTCGGCTTGGCAGAACTTGATATCAGTCTTAAGCAATGTTTGCAAACTATCCTGAAGAAAGTGTCTTATATAGGACACCCTCTCCCAATTTGTTGTGAAACCACCAGAACTTAACATCCATTGTAACTCTAAGTCTGCTCGGCCTATGTCCAGCAAAAGGCAAGGATTTTTTGTAGACCGGAAACTGTTAATCACACCAAAATATTATCACATAAATATTAAAATTATTTAAAATAAAAATATATTGATTCGTGTTTGCTATAACTTACCTTTCTGAACAAGGATCATACCAAGAAGGTCTCATATTGCCAAATTGATCTGTCGTATAGGACGAAGGTACTCCATCTAATGGTGCTCCATGAAAATTATTATGATAAGATGCTATACCCGTATGAGATTGAAATACAGGAATACTGGTAGTTTGAGATGACGTTTGATTCTCTCTGAGATTAAATATGATAAATTTATGATAACAGTCATTTAACCATAGAAATATCGAAATCATAATGTAATTACCTTTGCGAAATAGCTCTACTACCAGGAGAAGTAACAACTATAGGCTTATTGGGATTATTAGGATCAAACAATATTCTTTGTTGTTGAATTCCTTGTCGAGAAACAGTATGGCTAGGTGGCGATTGATTGGTTTCTGGTAAAACTAAAACCCCTGGTGCTTGAATATTTGTATATCCTGTAGGGGATACTTGTCGTATTGTTGTATTTGAATTTGCATTTGATAATGGAGTAGGGATAGTGTGAGAAGATACTTTAGGAGTTTGTCTTCCCTCATCCGAATCGCACACAGACATTTTCCGTCCAGTTCTCCAATTTTCATCTAAATGCCGATCTGCTGGTCTAAATCGGGCAAATTTAAAAATGCATTGCATACTTTTATGTGTATGTGGACATATGTATAAGGAGAATATCGTAAAATAATTAATATTATTCACCTTGGTCTATGCAGTTCTTCGTAATGTCGACTGCTACTACGATAATTTCTGTCCTTACTAGATTCACGACTACGTTGAATTATATTACGATGTCTTCTATGATCATATCTTTTGTTATTATTGCTATTTTTCTGATTATTGTTATAACTGTCATTTTCTCTATTTTGCTGATTATTTTGACGATCACGACTATTTACACGTGTTTTTTCTGAACTATTGTTCCTTAAAAAAATGTAAAATAGTTATATTATTAAAAGGATATAAACAAAAAATAATTTACTAAATAATGCAAAGTCAAATAGTAACTATGCATTAGTATCTATTTACTGATCAACTGCAGGTTTCTTATCACGCTTTTTTTTTCCTCGCTTGTGACTCTCTCTTTTTGATTGAGATCCAGATAAACTTACACTTTCGTGTAAACTTTGTACAGACGAACTACGGCTCAGGTATTGTGCTTCTAATTTCTCATTTAATTCAACTTCTTCACTCCAATCCTGTAAATACATATTGAAATAATTTCTGTATAATATAAATTATTTAAACTAGATTACCAGCTCAGCTTGATACTTACAAGAGTGCGTTCTGATGCCATATCAGGTAACATACTAAATGATTCACTTTTTGATGGACTTAATATTTGTTGACTACGTTGTTTTTCCATAGATTTACCTTCATTTGAATTGTTTACTCTTTGTCTTTATAAGAAAAAGGATTTATAATTTAGCTATAATAAAATAAAGCTCTGTATTCTAATTAACTTGGCTTGAATCTTACGTATTATAAGTACGATGCTGTGAAGAAATTGGAGGCGATGCACTATGATGTTGTTCTTCAGATGAAATCTGACATCTATTTGAACTAGATATAATAGACATTGGTGGTGGCAACATTACACTATCAGCACGACTTAAACTTTCCATGCTTGTATACATAGTACTATTACTACCACGACGATCATAAGACCTATTAATTGTTATTATTCATATATACATATATACATATACACATATATACATACATACATATATATATATATTTTTTTTTTTTAAATAGAAGAAATATTACAAAATCATGTTGACATATCAGTATTTTATGAATAATACTTCACCTATTTGTATATTCCTGACTGGGAGTATGAGATCTTGAACTTGGAGCCGAATACTGATCCGGAGTAACAGGTCTAAACACATTAGTTGGACCTTCTATTTCTTCTGGTCTAAGTCTACCTCTACCCCTACTTCGTACAGGTACAGTATTAGACCAACAAGGTTGAGGTGGTAATGGACCAGAAGGTGGCAAGTTTTGCATAGTTTGTGAATGTTGAATTGCAGGTGGATAATAAACTGATGAACCCTATTATGGTATATCATAAAACATGAAGTAATACTAATAATTAAAACAAATTATCTATAAAATTATCTAATAAATATATTGAGTTTATTTGAAACATTACAGTTGTGCCATTCCAAGACTCTTCAATTGTAGAAGAAAAAGAACTGTTAGGTAGTGCTAAACCATTATCGATCAAATATTTCTTTTGCAAACGTGGTGGTAAAGAGTCCAATTTGCTAGAACCACTTTTTTTGCCTGAAGGTGGTTTACCCTGAAATTTTTCAGGATGTCCAGCAGGTTCCACACTACGTGTATCTCGAGTGCGAGAAAAATCATTTGGGTTGTTCGGTGTTACAAAAAGAGGTTCTGAACCCTAATTATAACAAATATTTGGACTACAATTAAGTAAAATCTAATATAGTAATTCTAAGTAATTACAATATAGCAGAGGAACAAATTATAAATTTCCTAACCTGTCTAATTTCTCGTGGATTATCTCGTCTATTACCATAATTTTTAGTAGATAATGGAGAATCTGATCTCCAACTCTCTTCATTTTCATTAGTATGACGATTTCTACGATTACCCAAAAATCGTTTGCCATGTTCATCTCTTCCACTGCAACCACCTGAACGATTACGATGTCTATGACCTTTATAACTACGATTGGAATGAGAATCGCAATCTTCACTTTCCTCTCTTTCATGATCACGATCAAACCTAATAATGCAGAAAGAAGTTTAATGTAAAATAAAAGGTATAATCTGACATTTTAAAAGCAATAAAAAATGTATCACGCTTAGAATTATACTTAAATTTGTATGTTTGATTTATATTCCATTATATATGTAGATATCAAAAATCAACATAATCCTTTTCTATATACTAATAATTTCCATTAATTACCCTTTTCCTAAACAAATGCTAGCTTTATACTGATAATAATAAAGATCACCTATTTGCTACATCCTGTTCAGCCAATGCTTCCTTCACTTTCTTAGGTACGTACAGTTGCTGTTCTGGTTTCCTGCTTTTTCTTCTTAGATCTCCACCATAGTTACTTTTAAAAGAATCTTGTGCTTGATCACTATTATCATCATTTTTAAGATTAATATGCATATCATTCAATTTTTCATTTAGATTTTCTGCATAAGATGATGGTGGACTGTGGTACATTTGACTGCATCTATTGGACTGTGATTGCTTTAAACGATGTTGGACGGATGTTGGTTTTGATTTTATTTGTGAATTATTTTCATGATCGAAGTCATCAGCAGACTTTTCTGATTTTCGAAGTGGACCACTCCCTGGTCTATACAAAGCTTGTGGTGCTCTATTGCACCCTCCACGCATTCCTACTGATCTTTCTTTTTCCAATGTGGAACTTTGTATACTATCTGAAAATATACAGTACATTATCAAAATTTACTAAAATATGTACTGATGATTATTAATTTTACTTGTAAGCAACTAACTTTTAACTATACAATACAAATAAGAAAATATTATTTATTATAATGTAACGTTATATATCTGTAATAATTCGGTATTTTATTAGATACATATAGTAAGTAGCAAACAAATTGATTGATATTGTTTAAAAATTTACTTAGAATGATTATTATAATCAAATATATTAGTTCATAGTATAAACATTCCATTTATTATAGAAAATGAACTGAATTCTTTGTAATTGCATTATCATCTTTAGAATTCATATGCCTATTGTAAAACATTTATATTTACGTGCAAGTTTTAAGATAAAAATACTAGCGATAGGATACAATAATAATACGATACATAGTAAGGCCTGTTGACATCCTTGACAGTAATTAGAAATTAATATTTGAATATTAAAAAATCATTACATAATTCACGTAAACTCAAAGCACTTATATAGCAACGAGATATACTTTACAAATAATTAAAGATATTAGCGCATTTTATTTTAGCAGAAATAAATGTTTGTAAACTACTACATATTACAATGCCTTCTGTATTTTTAGGTTAGCTTGTTTGGTTGAGGTTAGCTTTATAGGTTTATCCAGCGGAAATTGCTGAAGATTCACAGGCCCTATAACTATTTATTTATGAATTTGGCTTACAAAATCACCATATAATTTTGGCACAATCCCGTGAAAATGTTATTTCTCTTAAAGTACCTTGTGAAAATCCTCCCCACTTATTGCGTCCTTTGTCGCGATTCGCCATATTGAAGTACAATCGCATCTAAATTTTTATGAAATCAACGAATGCCAGGTGAAGTCATAGTCATCATTGAATAAGCATAAAGTAGAGACATTTATATTAACCAATTATCAATAGAACTATTTTATCTGATTATGTATTCTGATGCGAATAATCGAAAAATATCTTTTCTATTTACGATATGTCATAAAATGATGAACAATACACATTTCAGTAAAATTAAACTTTGTTGAAATTCATAGAGGTTCTACTCGTTTGAATCAGATCATATTGTATTTATCAAAAAAACAAGACTATAAGTTTCAAAATCATTTTATTGAGTTTTCGCTTAAGGCTATCATACAAAATTCTGCAAGAATAAACTTAAGATGTAAAATAAATAATTCATGAAACACAGTCTATCTAAAACGTAAAACTCAACCAATAGCAAACGAGAAAATATTTCCTCCCATTTACAAAGGTTTAGTATAGAAATGTAATGAAATTTGCCATTTCACCATACAATAAATAAGCTTCTCTTTTATAATTTACTAACAATTTTGTACTGAATTACGGATTTTACATTAATATGAAATCTATTTAGATATGCATCACAATCATTTACATTTAACAAATATTTCATGTTGTAAAATATATCATTTTTAACTAAGGTATTGGGTTAGTATTTTCTTTTTTTTTTTTCTTAATTAAACTTTATTTTTAAAGTTATCAAACATATAATAATGATCATGATTACTCATTTCTCTAAGCAAATACCGTGAACACATAACCTTATTTGTTTTTGTTGTTTAATTTAAAACTAAAGCGCGTACTCTATGATGACTTGTCATAGGTTGTCCAGAAGACAAAAATTTTTGGACATTACGTTTTAATTTTATGGACAAATGTAGAAGGGTTACGTTTAATACTCGATCCAAATTGTTCAATTTCCTTATGCTTACATTTTACATCCTTATAGAATTTTGAGAATTTTGAATGCCCTTTATTTTATTAACATATTAGTTCAATATTTTACAAAACACATTCAAATATTCTTCATTAATCTCCATCGATCTTACAATCGCGATTCGTAGATTGTATTTTCATACTGTTTTGATGCTTCGGGAATCTATCTAAAATGCTGCAACCCGATTAGTCAGCTGACTCGCCAATACCAAGCGAGAGATATTTTTTTAGTTAAAAAGAGAATTATCTAGTGATATCGATGAATCGATAAAGAATGGTTTAATTGTCTAAAGAAAGAAAGTATTATTATAATTATTGTAGTTAATAAATATAATTTATTTTGTTAAAAAAACTTATTTTCGAACACTCTTCATATATTTGGAATATTACAAGTCCCCACATTGCATTTATACAAAAGCGCCACCTAAAGAATCGGAAGTGAAATATGATGATCATTCAACAACTCTTGAATATGCGATTTATCAATTGAGAATATTGTATCCATCTATTAAATACCATCCGAAAGCAGCTGTATTTACAGTAAACGAATTGTTAGTGGTTACATGTCGATCAATTATCAATCGAACGAATAATGCTTCTTGTAGATTGTTGTTTCTCATAATGTACTTTCATAGAAGAAAATTTTAATATAATATCAAATATGACGAATCAAATATCAAAATAAGGAGAAATTTTACAATAATATATGAAGATGACTGAAGACGCACGGTTCGTTTTATTTAATTGAAGTAAATGATAATTATGTAGAATGAATCATATAACATGAATACTTTTATTGATTAAAAAATTGACTTTTTAATTTCAAATTTTATCTACCTATTGTAATTAACTAAGAAACTATTTTATAAATTATTGTAGATGTAAGACATTTTCAGTATATTTGCTTATGTAATTGTTTTTTTTTTTTCATTGTTTGCTCTTCAAGTTCATTAATGTTGATTTAGAAAAAAAAACAACAAAGAAATATAAATATGCAATTAAAAATAAGAAACGGGATATGGAAGTTCATGTGCTACATTTTCGTTTCTTTTGCTTTTGAATCCTTTTCTCTATCTTTTCTCGTTGCTTCGGTTTCATTGTATGGTTCCAAATGTCCTTCAAGAAATTCTGCTACGGGATGCTACCAGTCAGCATTTTGTACCCAATATCCTCCATCTGCATCCCTAACTCTCAACCATCATCTCTATCCTCCACTTTTTTTTACCTTTTCCAAGGAAAATTTTACATCTATCTATCTTTAATATCATTCTCTTTCCTTCGATTTCCTTTCTCTTTTTCACTCATGTGTCTTCACGCAATCCTTGATATCGTTTTCGCATATTAGATCACTTTCAGTCTATATGCACACAACTGCACTTTGAAACAAACTTTTCATACTTCGAGACAAAACTCCCCACATATTTTCTTCAGCTGCCATGCTGGTTGCCATGTTGGCTACTACATTGGTTGACTACGTTTATCTCTATTTTTACGAATCATGTATGTAAACATGTGCAACAATCTCTCACGGTACAACTACAATGTCTTTCGAACAAAAATTTATATTCCAGCTCGATAGATAGAACTTGTTTATATGACCATCTTTAAACAATAAAAAACATTTGCAATTATCTTCTGTAGCACTTACAAGTTAATCTGAGGACTTAAGTATCTTAAAGTGAGTTAAAAGTTAATCAACTTAAAGAATTCTTTGACAATCTGATTGAAAATTTTATTCTTTAAATAAATAAAAAATCAGTTTCTATAACATTTAACTAAAATGATTTAAAGCATGCTTCACGAAAAAAAAATGTATATTGCAATCAGAAGTACAAAATCAGACGCATCATTTGCAATACCAAATAGATTACCACAGGGTAAAAAAAAAGTAAATTCACCCATTTTATTTAATATCTTTATGAGTAACTTATTACAAATGTATGATCTGAAAGCTATCAAAAATCATTATGCGTTTGCATTTATGAATGATCTACTGATCTATACTAAAAACAACAATCCGGTAATGATAAAATTACCATTAGAAGAAAAAATAAATTCTAGAAATATATAATAGATAATTTTTTTAAGAATGTACATTTAACAAAATTTTCAACGCACACTCATATGACAAAATCAATTTCAAAAAATGAAAAAATCATGTTGTAGCCGAAAGTTTGTTGACACAAAACAAAAAATTGCAGGCTTTTGGATTTTAGTCGTCAGATAGTTCCTAACGAACACTATCAAGAGAGTATGGTTGGAAAAGTTGAAGGAATCGCAACCAATTATTTTTCAATAAAATCAATACTAAGAATTTATTCTATTTTAAATATCCCTTCGCACCATTACAGCTAATTTAGATATGAAAAAAAATAAAAATAATTATACATTATCTTCAGCGATATAAATTACATATTTTCTATAGTGATGCATTTTATTAGTGATAGACTCTAATAATATATTTCATTAGGGACTTATAATTTTCGCTAATAAAAAATTTTAATCTAATTGGTTCGAGCTTAAATGAGTGACTTAAATATCAAATGTAAACAAACAATAATTAAAATCAAATGTAAACAACAAACATGAATTGAAAATGCCAAAAGCGCTCGCGTCAAATTAGTTATAATGAACTTGATAAGCAAAAATTGTTTGCGATTTAGAAATAATTCTATGCACTGTTACAATCATATTGTTCAATATGTCGAAGAGTACTAAAAATAACGATTGACTTTAATGCAAAATATTTCTGGCACTCAAAGAGTTAAGGTACGAGTATAACAGAATATAACGGTTACGAACGTATTATTCTGATAAATTCTACACGTACATCGGCCGCAAGGACAACACTACACTCGTGCCTTGCGCGTCACAGCATCGCTAGGATACCCGACTCTTGACGTCATTTATTATTACAGTTTTAACGGAAATGATCGGTTGCGTTTAATTTTCGAATAACCGAACAACCAATTATTCTTCTCTTTGCATTTCACTTCCTGCCGTTCTCATAAATCTTCGAAGCTATCCATCGACAATGTAAAAACGTAGTTCGTAGGAGAACATATATATTTCAAGTTAAACTAGACATATGTCACAACACAACATCATGTCGAAGCAAAGATACAAAATGCATAAAATACATTAATGATATATAACAAATTCTTTTATACCAAAAACTTAAACAGTTGTGGTAAACATGGTTTAAACATTAGCACCAGCACGATGGACAAAATTGGAACATTCGAAAGAAAATACTTAAAAGTTTATTAAAATATGTAGATACAGAACATTGAAATCAAACTACACAACAACAAAAATATACAAAGAATCTCGTACTATTAGAATAGATTTATTTTTATTAGAACTTATCATTGAAAATCATTGGGCAAATACACACAGTTTAAATCAAATGAACTGATTTATATTTCCATCTATCAAAATACATACAGTATATTTTGAACCTGACAGATATAAATAAAAAAAAACAAATACAAAAATAACATAAAAAAATTAAGGTAAAACCATTTCCCAAAAATACGCATAACGTTAATAATATGTTTATATATATACAAAAATGATATAGTATTGAGTCACAAAAATATATATTAGACAAATAATAATATTATAAGAATCAACTTTAATCGAAGATTAAAGATATGAAAACGTATCCATTTCATTGATAAGTAGATAACATCCCAGTCTTCATGTGGATAACTGGAATTTAATCCATTTTTTATTTTATTTATGTTTTTCTTTCTCCTTCATTTCCTCTTTACTTCTTTCGTTATACAATGTCATCTCTTCTCATTCTTAAGCAATAGATTTTATAGCAATAATTTTAGACTTATTAGATATATGTATATAGTTTTTTTTATTTTCAATTATAATATCTAATCTTAAATTAAATTGGGTTTTTAGTATTAAATGGAATTAAAATTACTTACTAGTCAGACCGTGAAAATTTGTTAGAATCGTAAGTCTCACTAACACACTGTTAGTGATATTATTATCTTTCTTGTTTCTGTAAAAATTTTTTATATTTTTGTTTATCAATAAAGAAAAAAAAAATAATTTGAAGCAATTACCCGAAAAGAGAAAAATTTTGGTCCAAACCACCTTACGGCCCAATTTTTGTCATGTGTTCCGGTTATGTTTGAAA